GATGGCCCCGATCACTGAGGGCTTCAATGGAAAATGCGACGAATCTCAGGAGACTGGAGAGTCCCGACAGCATCAAGAAGAAGGCGGCTGCTGCGGTCTTTTACGCCCATGGTAACCACGAAAGATGTCAAGAAGATGGACCCCTTCATCTACTCTGGCTCCCCGCGTCATGGAAGGTGTTCGCACCTTCATGGTCACTAAGGGTTGTGTGAACTAGAAGTACGGCCAGGATCTCATGGCACTCATCGAGGATCCGGAACTCTCAGCAGTTCAGTCCAAACTGAGCATCATCTCCGAGTACATCGTCAAGCTTGGAGGATCCGCCGGTCTGGTCCTGTTCATCGTCCTCTTCATCCGGTTCCTTGTGCGGCTGCCCCGTCTCGGTAGCGACGTCAGCAGGCATGACAAGGGTCAACAGTTCCGCCAATATTCATCAAAGTTGTCGGAGGGGCAGTCGTCATTGGAGGTGAGGGATCACACAAGCCACATACACGCAGCAGTTGACGGAGGAAAGGGTCCGTATCAAGGGGGTTGTCAGGGAGGATTCGGACAAAGACGGTGGGAGTTTTGCATCTGCCACGAAACTGGGAGATGTCATGCGGTGGTGTCGATGTGGTGGCAAGGCAAAGACGGGCAACTCTTTCGGCGACATGGACAGTTGGCAGAAGCGTGGCTCATTCCCCCGATGCGTCAAAGGGTGTGGCGTGTGCTACCCCATTCTTGCATTCTGATGTGGCTCATGACGGGCCCTCAGAGAGCAAAAGTGTACGTGGGACATCCGCAATGTTCCAGAAGCTCTCGATCCAAACCGATCATTGGCCGGAGGTTCTTTTCCGAGTAGGAGCCCGGGGTAAGCAAGGACAAGGAGTTCCTTTCTTGAGGACCACACCAAGGTCAAGTAGACGACAAATGTTTACTTGTTGCTTGGTAGGATTTCCATAGAGGTGCGAGGCGAGAGATAGGTTTGTTCCTGTGGTGCCGTGGTATTCCAGGATCCTACGGAAGCTTGGAGGGTGCACTCCCACGCATGCCAATGTCGACCAAATCGAAAGATCGGCCCAACATGCCAAACACCTTACCGGTTGGGATGCACCGCGCAACGGGTGGTGCCCTCCGGATAGAGTCCCGAATGGAAGGTCGGCACGAGGGATGAAGTCATCGCTGCGGCCGCTGCACCTGTTACTCCCCCTCGTTGTGATCGCCCACGATCCTGCAAGGTACAACACAGAACAGGACGTCCCACGTCCGACGAGTGCGCGGATGGACGGTCTCGTGGGCAGGAGGCACATGCGACGTGGGCGATCATCAAGGGGGCAGAAGCGCCGATTATTCGATCAAGGCGACCTCGCCAACACAGCAGCCATGTCAGGATTGCTGAAAGGGTGTGGATTTTTTGATCATGAGTTAAGGGTGCCAGATGGGCCATCACGATCTGAGGAACCTCGTCTCCGCTTAGACACCCAAGGTGACTACGCACAACCACTGGCACAAGCACAAGCAGGATTACTCCTGCTGGCAAGGCCGGGCAGGGTTCCTATCAGCGCACAAGCGCACAGTTGACGTCGCCCCGGCTTGGCTTCCAGATGCATTTGTGGGTGTCTCTGATTAGGGGACGCCGAGGCTTCTCTAGGTTTGCCAGTGACGAATTCACGAAAAGGAAAAACAACGTGGGCGAAAGCTTGAGAGCCAGAGGCTCAGCCCAGCGCCCCGGTCCACAGGGGTTCAAGTGCGCCAGGGCGGCTTGTCAGGCGGCGGCTGGCAAGGGGGGGGTAAGGCACGCTGTTTCAATGGTACGTCACATCCTCTGGGAAATTGACGACAAGGACAGGAGGTAATTAAATAGAATCGCCGGCAGCCTTTGTTGGTGAGTGTCCCGAGTAAAGATAATCTCCGCCAAATTTCAGACCTGCTATTCATCATTTCAAACCTGGCGACCCATTCACGAAACGAACAAAGAAGTTCAATGTACCATTGCGACGTAGCGTGGGCATCCTCAGTGCCTGCGTCTGCCCCCATTCAGAGCACCCCGACGGCCGCTGTTGGTGCATCCCCTGACGGCGCCCAGGACGCACGCTCGACGTCGATAAGAAGACCATCGCCACACGGCGGTGACGAGCACCACGACCACGACCACGACCACCAGCGCCACAGGCTGCCACTAGCGCTTGCCCGGAACCATCCACTGCTGACGCCTTATCGTCAACTGCGATCGCCACCACACTCTCGTATGCTATCCTTGTCTCGGCCGGCACGAATACCATCGGCAGCCGCCGTCGATAGCACAAATTGATTCCTCTCTGCGCTGTACATGTCCAAGTACATCAGGGAGGGTACCAGATCTGTACCGTACTGGTGTTAGCTGGGCCGGCTCGCAGGACTGGGCACTAAGTTTGATTTGATAGCGCATATTGCTGGACGAATTGCACCACGCCTAACGAGTAAAATCAACTGGGAAGGCGGTTACCGGGCGCGCAGGAGCTACCTCCCCTCTTCCTCCTGATTGTCCCCCCCCCCATACCTTAGGTACCTAGTTACCTTTCGTATCCATCCAATCCGACCCATCTCCAGCATCGGCGGACCCCCTTGGCTGCCCCCCCCTACCCCTCGCTCCGACCTGGCCAGAACGTCGAGAACGAGGTCGATGCGACATTGAGACCCATTCTGTTCGCCCATCTTGATATCATCACGCCTCAGCACATTGCGCCATCATTCCGCTAGTTGATCGAACGGATCTTCTTGAACGGCACGGTTGATCCCAAACCTTGGAAGAGGAACATTTCGGTTCGACACGACACGTGAGGATCCATTTCCCACTCATATAGGTACTCTGACTGCCGTGACTTTTTCTTATTCTTTGACCCTTCGGAATCATCCAACGTCCCAAACCACTGCCTCCCCACCCCATTGCAACGCACAGCTGTCACGCAAGGCCTGGTCGTCCCGACACCCCCATACCTGCCACACGCTCGAGCAGAACCACGTACCAATCAACCTGCACCAACCTGCCACCGCCATCCTGCAACCACCAACGCCAGTCTGCAAAACCAAGGCTTCCCAGACCGGATCTTCATGCATGCGTCTTAAACCTGACCCTGCCTGCATCTCCCACCGGATCACAATCATCTCGACACCACCACCAGGTGTGCCTACGACCGAGACTGCGGGAACAGCGCACCGCCACCACCCTCCATCACGTAAATCGACACACCTAGAGCTCAAGCTGACAGGAGCCATCGCTGCTCCGTCTGCCTACTTCCCATTACGAGTCTTCGCCTCGGTACTCTCTTTCGCCTTACGGACGAAGACCGAAAACCTCTTTGACTTATATATATCTTCTCGTCCCCGTCCACTGCCCGACTGTCTCAACGCCAGTCGACTCTCTCCCTAACAAACCCCGGTATCCCCACTTTCCTCAACCACGCACTTCACCAGTGGCCCAAACATTCCTCTCCGCGCGCAAAAGATTTGACTAGTCTGAACTCACGAGACGCACGACGTGGACCCTTACGACGCTCTGCAAAGCTTTCACTCGTCCTTACCGCACGTCATAAGCAAACAAAACAACCCGTAACCACGACACGGAGCTTTCAATGGGCTCGTCATTAGTTCAACGGCACCCATCATTCACCCTTCGCATGAACGCCCAAGGCACGTCGCCAGTCACCTCAAATCTCTACGAGCCTACCATGGACGCATCGGCCCCCAGCTTCGCCATGCAGCGCTATCTCGACCTCCATAACCAGCACGAAGAACTCCGCCAAAACTTGGACAACATTCGAACAACAGCCATGTTTTCGACGAGTACCACCTCTCTCACATCGTCGCCGGCTGTATCGCCTACCCGCAGCTCCTGTACGCCTTTCGGCCAATATCCTTCTAGCAGGCGTCACAGTCGCCGATCTTCGCTTGCCGGTCCTCCCCGAGCGCGCCGGAGCAGCACCTCGCTGCAGCCCTTGGCCGACGAATCAATCCTGTACCAAGTCGCCGAGGAGGAGCGCCGTCTCTTCGATGTCAACGAGGGCATGAAGCGTGCCCTCACAGAGCTGCTCAACGGCCATGAAGCCAAGGCCGACGGCGCCTTCCGAACCTGGGTTCAATGCCGGTTAATGGACACGGAAAAGGAGCTCCGCTCCGAGAGACGTAGGAAGAGCGCGCCATAGTACGGCACGCGTTGACTTTCGCGCTCTCTACCGTCATGAAGACGCATCTTAATTTCATGCAGCGTGGGATCCTCACCAGGATATTGGCATTTCGGAGTTCAGGATTCGTTGTGAGGACACCACTTCGGAAAGGAAACAAAAGGAATAGAGCCAGGATGGCTTGACTGCATGATCCGGCGTGGTCGATGTATGATACCCTGACGCAACAGCCGTCGATTTTGTAATGTTGTGTCCGTTATTGTAAGGACCCTGATCGTAGTATTAGCAAAAAAAAACTTTTATATCACCTCCATTCGGGGTTTAGTAGTGACCTGGTCAAGGGATCTTGTCGAGCTTCAGGCTCATCATCACAGTGTAGCTATCAAATTATCTGGTACATGTGAACTAAATTGCGGACCCGCACAATTTCTCCGAGTAACATGCCTTGGCCAGCAATACGTCACAGTGTATGACTAAGCATACCTCTCGATTTGGAGGAAGCTTCAACCCATGCGCCTCTGATCTTCTAGAACGTTGGCTGGATTCTTTGGGCATGCTATGAGCCTTTCCGTCGCAACACACCTACCCATCCATTCATCTTCAATACATTGGACCCCCCACGCACAAAGTGACCTTCAAGGACAGGAGCTCATCATGTCGGTCCTCCTGGAGACCAGCTCTGGGGACATTGTCATTGACCTGCTGGTTGACTATGCCCCAAAGCTCTGCGAAAAGTAGGTCGTCCAACACGCCGTCCCGTACAGCTCATGCTCAGCTAACCAGCTTCCGCGCAGCTTTCTGAAGCTCTGTAAAGCCAAGTACTACAATTTCTCTCCGATACACTCGATTCAGAAATCCTTCTCCTTCCAGACCGGTGACCCATTGGGTCCCACGTCGAAAGAATCCGATGGCGGCACGTCCATCTGGGGGCTCCTGTCGGGCGACAGCAAACAGAAGACGTTCCCGGCGTTATTCCATCCGAAACTGAAGCATCTCGAACGCGGCACCGTCAGCATGGCGACGGCGCCGTCCGATTCCGATCCCGACACGAGGTTCGCGGCCTCGCAATTCATCGTCACGCTGGGCGAGGAGACGGACTTTCTCGACGGCAAGGCGGCCATCTTTGGCAAGGTCGTCGAGGGGTTCGACGTCCTGGAGAAGATCAACGAGGCCATCGTCGACGACAAGGGCCACCCGCTCATCGACATCCGCATCAAGCACACGGTCGTCCTCGACGATCCGTACCCGGACCCGCCGGGCCTGCGAGAGCCCAGCCGCTCGCCGCCGCCCACCAAGGCGCAGCTCGCGACGGTGCGCATCGCCGACGAGGCGGCGCTCCACGAGGACGACGCCCTCGGCGAGGACGCCATTGAGAAGCGCCGCCGCGACAGGGAGGCGCGCGCCCAGGCCCTGACGCTCGAGATGATGGGTGACCTGCCGTTCGCCGAGGTCGCGCCGCCCGAGAACATCCTCTTCGTCTGCAAGCTCAACCCCGTCACGACGGACGGCGACCTCGAGCTCATCTTTGGGCGGTTCGGCACCATTCTCAGCTGCGAGGTCATTCGCGACAAGAAGACGGGCGACAGCCTGCAGTACGCCTTCATCGAGTACGACGACAAGTCGTCGTGCGAGGCTGCCTACTTCAAGATGCAGGACGTCCTGATTGACGATCGGCGGATTCACGTGGACTTCTCGCAGAGCGTGAGCAAGCTCAGCGACGTGTGGAGGAACGACACCAACAAGAAGCGCAAGAAGAACGCGTCTCGCGGTGGCTGGGGAGGCATCGACGAGCTTGAGAAGAGGAGGCAGTACCGTGATCAAGACGATGCCCGGCACGGCGACAACTACAACCTCGTGTACGGTGCGGAGGAGATGAAGGGTCGTCACGAGCGAGGGCAAGGGGGGCAGGGAGAAGCTCCGTCGGCCGAAAGTGGGCGTGAGGACCGGCGCGACGATCGCCGACAGGACCGACAACGACAACATGGTGAAGGATCCCGACCTTTAAACCGAAGCCGCAGCCCGCGGAGACGTGACGATCAAAGACGTGACGATCAAAGACGCGACGATCAAAGACGCGACGATCGGAGACGCGACGATCGAAGGTACGACGATCGAGATCGTAACAGATCTGACTATCGCGATGCCCGGCGGAAGGATGACTGGTACGATAGACGACGCGATGGCCGGGACAGTGACAGAGATCGAGAACGATACCAGGACCACGGAAGGCCTAGGCGGAGATAGGAATCAATCTCCCCTTGTCCCTATTCATACTCATCTTGACTACCTACTCGCAGCGGACACCGATGCGCCTCGAAGCTCGCTTTCCATCTCCTGACTCACCTTCATTCTCACGATGCCGATCCGGGTTGGCGGATTTCGACTACAGCCCGAACCTGTCGTTGGTGGACGACGATCATGAGCGCTTGCACTCCCCCCGGCTCTCCCCCGACCTCAACTCATAGTCACCAGAAGGAATGGCCGAGGCTGTGCATTGTAGCAGGCTGTCCCCCATCTGCCAAGATCACAGGGTCAAAGAGGAAAGGAAAAGAGGAAAGGCCCACGCGGATTTAGTCCTTGCCTCCTGCAGTCAAGCGTCCGGATACCTTATCCGGCTGTCGATGAAATGCACCCCAAACCGACTATCCGCGCCATGTCTGTTTGAAAGTTAGTAGCCGGGTCTCCTCATTTCGATCGCTATCCACTTCGATTTTGTTGAGGTCTGCGGTTCATCGGGCTTGATACTACTCGACGTGACGCATCTCTGTTCGAGAACATTGTCTTCGCGGGGCCCTCATCCTGCGTCCCGTCGATGCAGCAACCCGAATGCACCCCCAGGTCAGAGCAGAAAGATGGCTCGTGGCGTTCTTGAAGCGACCTTTCTCGAGCCAAGATGGACTGAAGCGCAGTATCGCATCTAGCTCCTGAGAGTCAAATCTCCACGGCAAAAGCTTCATCTCTCTGGCTATGCCGCTCCGACGCACTCCAGAGACTACATGCTACTCATCGTGTAGCTTGTATTGTTCGGGTTGAGACCAGCATCAAGAGGCGGAATGCGTATCCTACTGTGACACGGGCGCTCCGTCGATACGTACCTACGTAGACCTGCCGTTGTTCCCTCGAGATATTGTGGAATCGGAGTCGGCGCACGAACTATGGTCTTCGTACCACCTGAACTATTCCACCCGCTTCCGCCAAGACCCTGGAAGCAGGACAATGGCCATCATGTGTGTAACCTGTTGGTCTGGTCTAGCTTCATTCCGTGACCCTAAGCCGGCATTCCGAATAAGCGATACCGATCTAGATGATCTCCAGAACCAAAGAGCTGGCTCGCGACGAGTTGCGTAACGCTCGTACTCGTTCCCCATCCATCGTGTCTAACACAACACTTCGTTTGCGCTGTCATATAGGAGCACGGGCACACATGCGTCGAGCATCACAGGCAGCTCCACTGCCGTCACTGCACGACCATGAAAGATGCTGCGGCCATGACCTACAGCGTTGCCATGCCCAATCAAGCCACGGAGTGGACTTCTCCCTATTGTCCCCTGCGACAAAAGTTTTCGACAGGTGCACGCAGCATTTGAGGGCCGCCGGCGTGGTCAAGTCGCGCTCAGACGACCAGCCAGGGCACGTTCCGGTTACCCGCAGGTCAAGACTCTGGCCGGTCGATGCTGACAGCGGGGAGATGCACTGAGCCGCAGGGAGCTAGGAAGAATCTTCCGCACCCGCCTTTTCCCGCCCTCGGGGCAGGGTAGGGCTCAAGCGGCAACGTGTACGGGCAGCGTCTGGCAGTGACGTGGTGTTGAGGGCACATCACAGCCTAGACGTCTTGTTCGTGACGAGACCAGCTGTTCAGCTCCCACCTATGGACAGAGATGGGCGTCTGTCGAAGAACCTGGCTCGCTCACTAGGGCGCTACTGTTGCACACCCTTGCGACGTGCTTTCGGCTCCTCGATACGAATTGCCCTCGTCGGCTGCGTTTTCTGATCTGGATGATCTGTGGCTGCGAGGCAATGCAAGTTGGACGATGAAACCTCCGGTTCAAAGACGTACAGACAAGATGAGGGGAACAAGGTCTAGGAGAGAAACATGGCCAGATGTCTTAGCTGTCGTACGGTGCCAGCCAGAACATGGTGTCCAGCATCAAACGATCCGCAGAAACTCCGTCGGACACGCGCGCACGTGGAGGACGTTCGTTGCTGTCGCTCCGCCAGCACGACATTCGTCGCAGCCCTGGCACCCGCCGTCGGGGGTTACGCAGGGCGAGTTGAAAAGCCGCCTGCGTTGAGTCGCCACAAGGCTACGCCATGACGAGCGCCGGGGAGAACAAGGACCAGGGCCTTCAACGGGATGGGTGCATGGGTTGCATGGGTTGCATGGGTCGACACTGCGGTTGATGATTGTCGCCGTCGATGCCATGATCAGTCGCAGCGGGACCCGAACCCACGCAGCGGCTGGAGACATGCATCGCCAAACGACTACCCGGCCATCTCGACCTGGTTCTCGGAGTCGGAGTCCCCCAGTCTCCTCCCTCGGGCAAATCTGGCGGGCGCCACGATGGGTATATGCATTCATACCTCCGCCGCTGGCGGCCAGGGCTAGACTGGACGACGCCGTGCGCAGTTCTCCAACGACAATGCAGTGGTTGGCGAAGGCACAGCACACACCCAAAAAGCTCTGCCGATCCTACAAAGGGCTTTCCGTCGATTGAGAGGGGTTGGACATCAATGCAGATCGGCCTATCAGATCCCTCGAGATGACTACATTTCCCTGTAGTTTGCGCAACAGGACACCCTGTGACTGGCCTCCCTCACAAGCAGGCTGCTCACCTTACTTTCCTCCTTCTCCTCTTTCTCTCCTCTCAGCTCAATTTTATCACGGTGTGCGTGATTGCATATGCACGTACTCAGGCGGGTGGCCCCCACGGACTCTTTGCGACGGGCATGCAGTCCAGTCTGCCCGCATATTGACATTTCGCCAAATACGATAACACGATGAAACATGGAGCGCAGAATTGGTGCTGGGGCCTAGGAGCATAGTTCATGGCCGGGGGTACATGTACCACAACGCGAACCATTGTTGGCGCGAGCAGAGCAAGCCACAGCACACACCCACCAACTTTTCTTTCTTCCCCCAAAGTACCAAACCATGTCTGACTGAGTTGGGTCACCAAACACTGAATCTCGCTTTTGCAAGCTTCAAGGAGATATTGGTGCGTCGGGCTGCCGATACCATTCATCCTGGTGGCCCAATGACCGTTGTTACCGAGACCGGGCAGCTTGAGAGTCTTGAATACAACAAACATGTCCAGCCGACTATCGGCAATGGGCAAACATAGGCTACGCGGGAAAGGCCATGCTGTCACAGGTTTGCTCGACGGCGACTGCTACCCCATCGCATTCCTGTTTTGGTGCGTCACGATGAGCTGGCGGCCGTCTGGCTCTGGAGCACAATCTTCTCTTGTGGATCTACGTACATACACGCACATGCGTGCCTCACTGTGTGCCCTGTCAGTTTCTGTCAGCTGCTTGGTGCTGGGGGTGGGCGTGGACAACAATCTGTCGGATGTTTGACTACTACCAAGCCCATTTTGGTACGCAAACCGTGCAGTTGTCTAGGTAGGGAATTGGCCATCCCTTATACCAGCGTCTTCCGACGACGGATTGCTCATGCTATGCAGCAGCATAACAACCAATGTCAATTGGGCCTGCGACGTGCGTTTCCACTGCCTTGAAAATCGACTTGTTTGGTCCCTCCTTATTGTTGCTGCTGACTTCGGTTCCCTCCCCGGACTACCACGCCCGAAAGCATAGCACTCTCCTCGAATGGATGACGAGGCAGCTATAGGTCGCACCGTGGCGTCTCAGCAGGAGAACTAACTCTAAGGATCACATTGACCACGGTATACGTGCGTCACGCACGACCTTTCATATCTCATATGGAATAGTACCAAGTAACAGAGCACGATGGAGCATCACCGAGGAAGAGGCCGGTGCGGTGCGGGGGAGGAGACTTCTCATCACATTGCTCAGCAGACAGGCCTCTATTGTGAGATGACTGGTCATACAGCTCGCGGTTTGCCGTCTCCAGCTCCAGTGGCACGCGAGGTTCCTTTCATCCGGAAATGGCAGCCTTGATCGACACCAACATCCAAGTTTAGTTTTCTTACTTTGTCTTTCTGCCTTCTCTTGCGGACGTTGATGGCCGAAAACTGAAAACTGCGCGGCAGGATACGACCGAACATCAAAGCCGCCACGTCTGGCCAGTGTGCTTGAGGAGAGAGCCTTTGGTGTGATTGCGCTGGCACGAGACAAATAGGTTGTCCTCTTGAGCCAACGCATAATTCTGCAGCCTCTTGCCGCCCTCACAGCAGGGCAGGTAGCCCAAAAAACTACCCCTTTCAATACGACGTGGCGAATCGGTTCGGCATCGGGACCTGAGCCGCAAGCATGGACGAGCGCGCGCGCTTGATCTGCATTGCAGCACGCGCGCCTTGAAGTCTGGCTTTCCCGCTTCCCACCCATCTTCCCTCCCCCCCGCCCCCGTTCAGGGGATCTGGCAGCCATGGTGTGTCGCAGATCCTCGAGCTGACTGTCAAGGTCTTTCTATTGGATGCTCAGGTTCGACGGCTGAGCATGATGGTCTCAAATAGTCTCAGTACTCATCGAATCTTTACATTACGTCGTCTAATTCTCAGGCTGTTGGCCAAAGACGTCTCCTTTTTGGGGGGTCTGAGCTACGTCAGGTGGAACATCTCGATATCACGTTCTGGGCCTCCAAGCGATCCGGACTATCACAGAATCCACCTGTCGGGCTGTTTGCGAACTGATCTCTCTCCCACATCGGCCACGCGGACAGAAATGGCAAAATCCTTCCAACGTCTCGAACGGGACAAGGTATCCCCTACTGCCATGCGAAGGGTGTTGACGAGTGTGTGGAGGGACGAAGAGAGCCTCTGCGGGTCCATGCAGCAACCCGCCTTGGCTGTGCTCACATGGAGCCTGTCATCTAGGAGCACTGCTAGTACCCATACTTCCGCAGATGTCTGTGTGGCTAACACTGGTGAAATAAAGGGAGAAATGGAGACGGAGAGAATGTGCGCGAGCCGACATTGGTCAATTGAACGTGTCCCTTTCACGAATAGAACAAAAAACAGAGTGATGACTTGCCCAACACAATATGCTCTCTACGAACACATACACAATCGAACTCGGGTGGTACCTACTGACTATAACACGCCGAGCTGCAGCAGCTTTGTCGAGATGGCCCTCTTCGGGGTCACCAAGTTCATCACGCTTTGCCCCTTCCCCTTTTCTAACCACACTTCACTCTAGCTGTGAGACGGTGAACAAGAGGACAAGTGTTTGGGAGCTTCAGTTCGAGCACAAGCTGGCAAGTTTCCTGCCCCATCTTTCAAACAGCATAGTCTGACAAGAAAAGGCGGATCGTCCCCTTCTCCTTTCAACGAGAGACCGACCGCCGGACAGAACGTCCTCCCCCACGGCACCCTTCCCCAGCGCCTTAGACCTCCAGCCGCAGGTCGAGTTCGAGCTCCGACGCCGAACCTGAACCTGAACCTGGAAACAAGGACGACGTCGACGGCTGGCGCCTTCTGCTGATGAAACGAGCTGTTGGCACGACAGGTTGTCAACGCCATCGCTAGGATCGCACAGCCCTCTCTCGCTTACTGCAACACACACACACACACACATACACACACCTACACATACACGACCCCGAGCTGGCTACTGTAACAAAGATCATGGTCACGCCAGTCTGTTACCCAAACCAAGGAAGAAGATATAACCGTACCGGCCCGCCGTTCCCCGGGTCCTTCCTTGAGCGCGTCCAGCGATATCCCCTACCCACCCTCGCGTCCAACGTCCGGCCGCCGCCTCTCGACACAATGAACGAGCGAGAGGCAGACTCGGACACGACGCCGCCACGTAAGCGCATTGCTGTTGCTGTATGTTTCCGGTCCTGTCGCGTCGGGAGCCGACTCGAGCACGTTCCCTTCGTCCACAGTCACATCGAACTGACATGTCTCCTTGTCGCCTCGTAGTGCACGCGGTGCAGGAAGCGAAAGATCCGATGCAGCGGCGATCCGGGCGACGGCTTACCATGTCACAATTGCAAAAATGCCGGTGCCGAGCCATGTCAATTTTTGAGGGTAAGAAACTAAAGAGCTCATGCCGCATATCCCACCCAACCCCTGGCCGTGCATGGTGTGAGAATTGAGAACGTCCATGTCAACTGAATATCACGGCAGGTTGCCTCACAAGAAACGACAATCATCCAGACCGACCGAGGGTTCGCGTATGATATAGATACGGCCAGGACATACCAGGTCAGAGGGATCATTCCCTCAGCCTTCCCGCCACAGTACCCTCCAGATCTGCAGGATGGTCTCGCCCGGTTTCCTTCGCCGTCAGCCAGCTACAACTCGACGGCGCGATACCAGGGCATGCCAAGCTGGACGTCGGCATACTGTGACGAGACTGCCGACTTCTCGAACATGGGTTACCACCCATCTTACTATAGCCAGGACCCAGCGTACCTGTACAGGATGGCCTCGGCCACGGAACGAACCGAGCCAAGCAGCTTGTTGTACGGAGATGTCGGCGCCAACTACAACTACGGGCAGCGTCCTGTCACGGGCAGCGACTCGCCCAACTTTTCCCTCAGCAGTGTGGCGGCTTCATTGCCGAGTTCGAACGATAGTAGGTTACTTCCCACGCCGGTCAACAGGACCCTGGCCAGCTCTGGTGCGTCGATCTACCGCGCGGATGAGACATCACCTTACAGCTATAAGGCGCAGAACGGGACGGCAACGCTTTCTTCTCCTGTCGTCAGTCTTTCTGAGGACTCGGGGGGCTACCTCAGCTGCGAGAGCTCGCCGGCGCCAGCATATCAGGCCTCGTCCGGGCCTCCCTCGGCCAACGGCAGCGCCAGCAGCACAAGCAGCGCCAGCAATCGCATGTCCATGTCCATGTGCTGCGGCACGGACGGCTACTCGACCTCCTCGTCCATCTTCTCGAACTCGGAGCTGCGCGCGCCAGGTTCGGGCAGCGATTCCTCCTATGACTACGGCGACACACTGCGCAGGAGCAGCGGCACGCCGCTTCTCTCCAACGGCCAGCCGTACAAGGTACCGCAGCAGCCCACGCCATCCATGCCCTCCCACCGTTCGGCCACGCACAGCCATCACGATCACCATTCGGCCCTCTCGGCCGCAGCTTATCTGCTGTCCGGCCTCAGCGACCCTGGTACCGCCGGCGGACCTGGGACAGACATCTCGGGAGCTACTGCAGTAGGCGGTGGGGGTAACGTTGGCAGCGGCAGCAGTGCCATGGGACATGCCGATGTACAGACCCGGGTTCCTGTCGGCAGCCTGCCTGCAGCCTAGGCCGCTGCCCTGCATTTCGCCTCTTCCCTTTCTCTTCTTTTTCATTTACATGTCACTTTTCATTTGATCTTCTCTCATGCCTATCACACCCCTCCCTCCCCCCCGCCCCGGTCCTCTGTCCCCTGTCCACCCCCTTTTCTCCCCCACGCCCCCTCCCTCAGCAGCAACCTTCAGCCCTGACTGGAGAATTCCGTCACAGCCACATGCACATCCACAGGTACGAGAAAAGGGGATACACGACTGGAGGAGGGGCTTGACGCGAGGTGACGATAGGATTCATCTGTCGTGCGGCTGCGGGGTCTGCGTCGCCCCCTGCAGTGCGTGAATGACGACGAGAACGATGATCCTCGGCTGCTGTCATGGTGTGTGTGTGTGTGTTGGAGCCCTCTGCCCATGTTGATGCCTCCCCCCCTCTTTCCTTCTCCCGTCGCCTTGTCTCGGTGTCCCCTGGGTCTGTTCCGCCTGCCTGTATTGTGGGTGTCATGGCATGCATGCACATCTGGTGGTGGCGGCGGCTATTCCTGTCTATTCCCATCTCCTATGGTGCCTTGCTTGCCCTGCTTCGGGTTTGAAGAGAGGCGCAGCTCGCGGACTCGAGACCTCCAGCATCTGGGTATCGGATCAAACACCACCTTGGTTTCCTCGCGTCTCTGCCTCACACCCAGTACCCCTTGCGCCTCGAACCGCCACCATCCTATTTCCATTCACCTCGTCAACTTCAAACACGAGATATCGAGAGCCTTGTCCTTCCCACCTGCAGCCTCCACGGTCACAAGCGCCCTCCTGCCATTCAGCCACCTGGGCCATTTGTTCTCGGGCCTGTCAGAGTAGACGGGCGCCACTACAACCCTCGATGCCCCTTCCAACGCGAGGTGGCGTATACACGCAGAGCGTCACGGCTGCAAGGGGCAGGATGTAAGGTTTTGTGACCTGTCAGTCAGTCGGCAGTCATCATCCGTTCTCGACCGCGGGCGGGGCCCGGCTGGATACAGTGGTGCCTGTACACGTGGCTCGACGGCCCAACAGCAGCCTCTTCGAGCCCTCTTACCTGCGTGCGTGGGTGCCACGACCCCAGCGGCTACGACCATGCCTCTCTGGAGCCGACGACTTGCTCTTCCACCCCCACCCGAGAAAACCACGAAAGGGGGGCGCATGGGAGAGGCGAAGGGTGACACTTCCCGACCTCCCCCTCTCTCCTTGACTGTCACATACGTACCCAGGTACTTGCTTCTACGCGGTGGCGTGGCCCCCGCATGATACCCAATGCCCAGTCTCGGGTTCGATCGTCTCAGCTTGGCTCGCGGTACATCTCATGGCTCGGGCCGCGTCTGGACAAGGCCCTCATCCGAAGAGGGCCCCTCTCGTTCCCCCCCCTCCCCGCGCCACCCCCAGGTCAGCCAGGCCAGGCTCGGTCAGCAGTCGGAGCCTGATCTACTCCCGCCGCGCCTTTCCGCCCGCTACCCCGTATCTCCATCCCGTTGGCTCATTGGTCCCTTTTACGACCTGTTGGTGCTCGACATTTCAACCGAGTTCGACTCTGTTCTCGGAAAGGGTTTCGCTTTCGCCTTGCCGCTGCGGCTTTTCTGTTTACAGCGATCATCTCCCTTTCTGCTTTCCTCTCTCTTTTCTCAGTCTTCCTCCTCTATCTGTTGTGTGCGTTTTCGTGACTTTTTTCTTGTTGTTGGCAATGGAGCACATGAGGTGGGATTTCCAGGGTATCGGAAAAGTCGTATTCTTCTCGTCTCGCGCATTGCTCTCGCCTTCTTCGTCCTGTTCGCTTGTCGGGTGAACGAAGCATACCATTTTCGGTTTCCCTGTCGGCATCCTACTAATTACTATGGCTCTCCGCCATGGCGAACCGGGGTGTCGGCGATGGGATGCTCTTCGAAGCAAGCTGGCCATCTGGATGGGACTGGGTTTCCTAGGATGTAAAACGGAACGGACAAGGCGTCTTATCTTCCCTCTCCACGGGGCATGACGGGTGCCACAAAACAAAAGGAAGACAAAATTGCGGAACAGACATCATGTCGATGATGGGGTCTCCTAGGTTCTTTTACGCGAATATAGCAAGGCAGAGGGGGCAACGAACGAGCAGGCAGCATTCGACCACAAGGTGCGAGGCAACTGGCTGAGAGGTAGACGAGCCTGTTGTCGGCAGGGAGCACAAGTCAGTATCGCGAAAATTGATCATCAACAGCACTAACAAGCAAGTTTCGTCGGCGTCTCGAGATGTGCGCATCTTTTCATCATTCATGTGGTATCTTCTGCTCCTCTGCCTCTTGTTTCTCCTCTTTTACAGCTTTTGTGGCGTCTTTTCGTCCACCTCGCAGAACGCCTTGAAAGTGACAAACTCATCATGCTCGCCGCCCTCGGACTGCAGGACGAGTTCAGCGGTGGAGCCCACAAAGTAGACATGGCCCTCGCTAATCTTCTCGACCGTCGGGCCGACAGCGATGGTGCCGCGGCCAGAGGTGCAGATGATGATGCTCGGCCCATCGAGAGGCTCAAAGGTGGCCTTGGCGGCGTCGCCCTTGAGAACGCTGCGGACGACGCTGAATTCGTCAATGGGCGGGTCGTACAAGGCAACGACGGACCCTGAGGAGTAACCCGCGCGGTTGAGCGTGGCGTACGGGTAGTCTTGGGGGGCCATCTTCTGGTCGTCAATGGGGGCGTAGTTGTAGGTGAGCATGTCCACGAGGGTCGAGACATCCTTGAACTTGGGGGTGAAGCCGGCGCGCACAACATTGTCCGAGGCAGCCATGCACTCAATGATATCGCCAGAAAGGTAGGCATGAATGTCGTCGGCCTGGAGGAACATGGCCTCGCCAGGGGACAGGGTGATGTAGTTCAAGAAGAAGAAGACAAAGAGGCCAATGTCATCCGGGAACTGGCTGTTGAGGCGGGTGACGAGCTCGGCGAGGGTGGAGCCAGAGGTGGAGGGCAGACCCGAGGCCGCAAAGGAAGACCTCTCGGACCGGGCGAGGAGGACAAGGTTAGCCGTTTCCGTCTTGATTTCCTCGGGTGTGGCGGACATGAGGGAGGCGAAGATATGTTGAAGAGCCGTCTTGTTGCGGTCTTTGGCCTCCTGAGAGTTGTCTTCTTCCGAACCCTTGATGGTATCGATAAACTCATCCGCCTTGTGATTCTTGACGATGGCCTTCAACGGCGGTACAGATTCGAGGAAGTGGACTATCTCAGCGAGAGGTCTGAAGCCGCAGAGGCCCTCGAATGGGGTGATGGCGATGGTCATCTCGGGCTTGTGGTTGTCATCGGGATAGTTCTTGGAGTCGCGGGCGTGCAGTTGTTCGGCCAACTTCTTGTTGGGATGGGCCTGGATCGAGAGGGCCTTGTTGATCGACAAGACTTTGAAGAGGAAGGGCAGCTTGTTGCCGTACTTGGCAGAGACGGTCGTCGACAGGAGCTGGGCATTGTCGGCACAAAGATCAACGAGCGAGCGGCCGGACTTGACGTCTTTGGAAGGGTTGGAGGGATGTGTGCCCATCCAAAGCTGGAGTTTGGCCGTATAGGTTAGCGTCTACCGCAGGTCACCGGCCAAGGGGGGATGTGGGAGGGCGCTTGGCGCGAACCTCAGCGTAGGGCTGGTCAGTCTTGACTTCGAAGCCATCGGCGGGCGTCGTGGCAGCGAAGCGCGCAGCAGCCGATTCAGAACCTGTTTTGCCCCATTCGTACGAATTGACGCCGCACTGGAGGCGGATCAGAGGGACCGGCAGCATGGTGGGGATAGATAGAGGATGTGGTGCGGTCGTGGGAACAAGATCGAAAGGGCAACGAGTGGACAACAGCAATAGGAGAGGCAATACGCGAGGTATATAAAGTGGCTGCGATGCGCGAGTTTTGGATCCTCGTTCAATGAAGGAAAGGCGATTACGAGACGAGGCTCCTGTCTTTGAAGGTGGTTTGGCGGGACACAGGCACCTCAAGACCCCGCGGCCGCGCTGTGAGCTCTCGTAGTGGGCGGCAGCAGGAGCGATTGACGTCAGGCAGGGGTCACCCTGGAGAGCTACTGCCCCGCCTTCCACTGTGCTTGCTTCCCGAGTTGCCAGGAAATTGAGTCTTCCGTCACCCAACTTCGGGCCGGAAAATGGCCCGCCGCACTGTGGCGGTTCATACAGTGAGGAGACCTCGCCAGAGGAGAAGCGAGTGACTTGGTCCATGCGCTCGCTCATTCTCCGACGCGTCTAGGGGAGCCAACATGATCGGATCCATTGACCATGGAAGCGCGCGGCTCGTGTCCTCCACTTTCACCCTCAACCTCATCCTCAACCGCAGCCCGTCCGTCATCATCGCTGGGGGATCACCAGCTGAGACCACCTTAGCTGTAGAGGTGCATCAAGACGTCAGGCCGGGCGATTGCGTTCAAGGTTTTTCGTCGGTGGTTGTGTAAGTTTTGGGAGGCGGCGCACAATTTCATTCCTGCATTCGTCTACAGCGCACGGGATATGAACAATGTGATTTCCTGGAACGCCCACTTCATCCTTTCTTGATACCCTCCCCCCCCTACACTATCACGAGCAATCTATTCGCTTCGAATCTCCAGACGATCTATCAGTCAGACAGCAGCCCCCCTCATATCAGGTCTTTTTCAGTGGCCGGCAGTGACAAGCGAATCGCCAAGGCGTGGTTGGACAGCCAGACCCCGCTTGTCATACCGTCACTGCATCTGCAGGTGCCACAGGAAGGAAAAGCCGTACTTGCCCAGCGAGCAATCACACCAGCCGGAAAGCACTGGTGACGTTCAACCCTACGACTTCTCTTGACCTGTCTTCGGCCTTGGCCTGCTCGTGAGTCGTCCTTCTGCAACCCCTCGCTCAGCATCTTTCATGTCCTCGTGTGTTTCTCTCAACAAATCATCCCACATTACCCGAGACCAACCCTTCCATCACATTTACACCCTCATCGTATTCACACAGACACACGCGCACATACACACATACACACATACACGGTACAATGACTGACCCCAAGAAGCCTCCCCGTGC